CCGAGTCTCGCAGGAGAAACTGCATGTGGTCCCCAGGGAAAGCTGCATGCCTCAGGACAAGCTAGGCCCAGCCGATGTGAGGGGTGGGTCCCTCAGCAGGTGGTCCTGGGCATGGCTGCTTTTGGAAATACCTGTTAAGCTTGAGCTCTTCCCTAATGCAAGACCCATTCTGCCTTCTGGGCCACGGCCAAGCGAGGCAGAGAGCACAGGAGGCTGTTCCGGGGCCCACAGCCACCTTCTTTCCACGACCCTCACCCTCGTCTCCAGTCAAACGTACTGACCGTGCCCTGACCTCATCCCCTCCCAGCCCTGGCGGGCGGAAGCTTCACTGTTTGAGGCGTCAGGACACTCACATTTGCTGGGCAGACGGAGGGCAGTGTAGTTGAGCGGAGCGGGTGGGCACCCTTTGGGGCCTGGCAGCTTGTAAGACTTGAGGTTGGATTCCCAGCTCTGCCCTGGGCATGCTGTGTGTCCTGGGCCCATGCCTGCCCCGCTCTGAGGCCTTCCCGTCAGCCCTGTGGTGGGAGCCCAGCTTCCTTGAGGACACCAGGCAGGACCAGGCTGGGGAGTGAAGTTTTGGAGTCTCAGGCTCATATACGGGACAGTGGTGGGGCTGCAGGGTGGAGGGGAGCGGGGCAGGGGCCGGCTCGGTGGGCCACAGTGGCTGCTGCCCGGCATCTAAACAGCTTTTTTACAATGTCAAACAGGGGAAAGGCGGCTAGAGCAGCACATCCCCCCTCAGGCCGTTTCTAATGGTAAATATGTCTGCTCTCCCCGCTTGCTCTCACTGGCTTGCTAGGGGAAAGGCTAACCGCTGGGGCTCCCACTAACTGCATGCCCTCGGGGCTCGGCCTGGCTGGCTCCCCTGCCGGCAGGGCCCACCGAGCGTCTCCTGAGTCCCCAAGAGCTGGCCCAGGAGCCTTCATGCTGGTTTTGTCTTGGATCCTATCCCTCTCCTTTTCTCTTGCCCTGTCCTTCCACCTTCTCCCTCACCCACCTTCTAACACCTCACCCTGCCCGGCCATCGGCCCCCTCCCTGTCTCTGCCTTCGACACCGCTGAAGACCCAGCAGCCCCATCTCAGCCATCGTGTCCACTGTGCCACCCTCCTCGGGGCTTCCTGCCCGCAGTAGCTCCAGTCCCAGCATCGCGCGTTGCCCGCTCCCTCCGTATGGTGCAGATCATGGCCTTGGCGTTCAGACAGACCTGACTCTGGGTTCTGGCCCTGCCGCCTTCTAGCTCTGCCGAGTCCGCCTTGACTCGCACAGGATCTCTGTTCCCCTCTCACTACTCTGGGCTTGGGGCCCCCCTTCTTACGCTAAGGACATTCTTGGGGGACTGGCTGGGCTTGGAGTCTGAACTCAGGTTCCCTCCCATGACCTTGGGGAACCCCAGGAGAGACAGGCGGGAGTGCTGCATAGGAGATCCCCTGTGGCCGCTCCCAAACCCGGGCATTGGAGGGACCAGGCATGACCAAGGCCCCACCGGCAGTTGGCCTTCTAGTGCCCCGTCCGTGCTGCTCTCCTCAGTGACGAGGGTTGGGCCGAAGTTTTAGGAGTCTGCGATTCAAGGCGATAGTGCTCTCTGGTGCCTTTCTCATTCGGTTCCCGATTCTGGGAACCACTCCTCTCTTTCCTCGCAGAGGCCGTGGGATGTTGTCTCTCTGATGGGAGACTCTAGGCCCCCGGGGGATGGCCCACACCTCCTCACAGCCCCTGTGCAGGGCCTCGCATGATCTGAGCTGGGGGTTTTTCCTGCCTCACGGACACTCCTCAGCTGTTAAACCTGTTTTTCTCCTGCTCTGAATTCAGAAAATAGGGCAAGTGACCCATCCATACATCCCTACTCCAACCTCTCAGCGAAGGGAAGCTTACCAGTCGGGAGGGGGCGATAGCAGGGACAGCGCTGAGGTTCTGTAGCTCGCTGACCTGCCTCCCTGCGCCCTTCCTGCTCTGATCCTGCTGCTTTTGCCCCCTCTGCCCCCCTCCCCACCAGGAACGTAGAACCACAGAGCAGCCCACTTGCCTCCATCTGCTCCTAAAAAGAGGGCTTGGGAGGAGCTGGGGGAGCCTCGAAGGGGCTGGGAAATGACTGCCGTCCCTTCTGAGGACCAGCAGTCAGCCCTTGAACTGGAATTGTTCTTAAAGCAGCTGGGCAGGGAGGCAGGGGAAGAGGAATCGGTGGCCATCAGCCGTCTCTGGAATCACCAGGCTCACTCTGCCCAAGATTTCCCCACCATGACCCCCCACCCACCAAAGGAGGTAGTCAGTGGAAAGAGGGAACTCCTGTCCGCCCCTTCTTATTCCCTGGTAGCGACTGCTCCCACCCTCCTTGCACCCGCCCTCTCTGCATCCTCCACCCTCAGCACATTCCTGCCTGACAGCTCTGGCTTGTACCTGCCTCACTGCTGTCCACCTTGTTTCAATCAAGCAGGGGGCAGGGACGTGCCTGCTTGGCTGCACGGTGAGGGGCCGGGGGCTGGGGCCTCCGCTCACTGCTCCTCGTAAAGCACAGGGAGGCAGCGGGGCCTCGCCTCTGCCCGCCGGCCTCTGTGGAGTTTGGGGTCCTCCAGGCCGATAACCTGTTCCCGTCCGGCTCCCTCCTACACAGAGACCTGTGCCGTCAACAACGGGGGCTGCGACAGTAAGTGCCACGACGCGGCGACAGGCGTCCACTGCAGCTGCCCCGTGGGCTTCATGCTGCAGCCGGACAGGAAGACCTGCAAAGGTGAGGGTTTCCATAAGACGGGGGCGGAGGGGAGGGCTGAGGTGGGGACTGAGAGAGAGGAGGGACCAGACCTCCTGCACCCCTGGAGGCTATCCGGATGCTAAAGGGCCGAGGTCATAGTTCAGGCTTGTCTGCTGTCCACCATTCCCATCTCTGTTCACGAGGCACAGAAGTCCAGCCCGTCCCTGAGTGCCCCCGCCCGACACGACCTTGATTTCCCTGCTTTCATTCCTGTCCCCTACAGATCCTTAACCCTCTCGGCTAATGAACATGCCATTTACATTTGTCCCTGGGTCTGAAGGATATGTGAGCCTGTGTGTGTGAAGTGTGTTCCATAATCCCCTTATCCCACATTGGCCGTCCTGGTCGGGTGGGAGCACTGATGCTGGGGCCTGGCTCCTGGGTTCAGATCCCAGCTCTGCCTCGGCCTAGCTCTGTGATCCTGGGCAAGTAACTTGGCATCTCTGCGCCTGAGTCTCACCACAGTGAGGGTGCTTGCAGAATGCTGTAAGAAGGAAAGGAGTTATAAATTACAAAGTACTTAGAACAGGCCTGACCAATGATGAACACTTTGTGCTAGCCGATACGCTGGTAGACTTTCCCACACTGTGCATCTATTTCCTCTCCTTTAAGGAGCCAGGTCTACGGGAAGGTTGGGAGTGCAGGGTAGCCATGCTGAAAACAATGATTCATCGGGGCCTGTTCCCTGGTCAGCGGAGTGAGGCCTGGAAGGAGGCCTGGGCTCATTCTTGTGTCTTTTGGCCAGCAGCTGGCCGAGAGGACTGGGAGGGCTGGGGCAGCGGGTCAGACAGCCAGAGCTGAGAGGTTTCCTGCTGGGAAGGACTGTTGACAGGTATGCTGAGAGTGAGGGGAGGGCTGCCCCTCCCCCAAGGAGGGGTGCTAGCCTGGGTCCTGTCTGCCACCAGCTTGGGGAACTTGACCTCAGGAAGGAAGCTGCTCACCCTGCCCCCCCTCCCTTCCGAGTGCTGAAAGCTGCCTCAGGCCTGAGTCTCTCCAGATCTCTCCCAGTCCAGCCCCTGCCTGGCCCTCTCCCCTCCCCCATCAGCGACCCAGCCCCACTCGCTGGCTTTCCCCTCTGAAGAGCTGTCCCTTTGAATATCCACGTCTCTGTGCCATCTCCTCACCCACCCTGCTGGGCTCCGGTGGCAGGCGGGGGCGAGGAGGGGGGGCAGGAAAGGAACAAACCCCATCCTCCAGCCTTTGGGGAAGGGCCACCAGCAGCCGAGTGAAGGGCATGGACTGGCCCTGTCAGTCAGAAGGGCATGGACTGGCCCTGTCAGTCAGAAGCCCACCTACTTCCTGCTCCAGGCAGCTCCCCGAGGGCCTGACCTGGCCCCCCTGCATCCCCTTCTTAGGGGACTCGGCCTGAGGAAAGGTGCTGGTAACGGCACAGACAATCCCCTGAACAGGGAAGAAGTGGGAGAGAGTCGGAAGGCGCAGGCTCAGGGCTCTCCATGATTCCGGCTGTGAGGCAGGGCGTGATCCTGTATCCTGCTTGTCCCCAGCCTTCAGTATTACCTTTGATTTTCTCTATTTGTCCTGCTTCCCCAGACATAGACGAGTGCCGCCTGAACAACGGGGGCTGTGACCACATTTGCCGCAACACGGTGGGCAGCTTTGAATGCAGCTGCAAGAAGGGCTATAAGCTTCTCATCAACGAGAGGAACTGCCAGGGTGAGTCGACTTGGGCCAAGGAGAAAGCCCGGGACAGGTCCTTGGGGTGGAGAGATTCAAGCAGCCGAGCCTGAGAAAGTCAACGGACACGGCGGAGACCTTCTGTACGCTGGGTCGTGCTGCAAATTGGCAAATGCATGCCTTCTTGGCGGCCCAGCTCTGCACTGGGGCGCGTGGCTTGGCAGAGGGAGGGAGGGGTTTCACCCCAATTCATATCCTTGGTAGGGCCTGACCTGCCTAACCACACACAGCGGCCCTGACCAGAGGCATCCGGTCTCGCCGTTCCTGACTCCAGGGATGCAAGCGGGGGGCCAGGGATGGGAGCATTGCTGCATCGCTGACTCTAGGGCTGGGCCATCCATAGGGGCTTTCAATGTAAGGAGGGAGCCAAAGCCCTTCACCTGAGCAAGGGGTCCCAGGGCCAAGTGCCCCAAGGCAGACTCCGGCTTGAATCCTTGCTCTTCCAGATATAGACGAGTGTTCCTTTGATCGAACCTGTGACCACATGTGTGTGAACACGCCGGGAAGCTTCCAGTGCCTCTGCCATCATGGCTACCTGCTATATGGTGTCACCCACTGTGGGGGTAAGCCAGCAAATCTGCACCTTCAGCTACCAGGCCCCTCTCACCTCCTCACCGTTCAACTGAACGAGCCCCTGAGTTGGCTTGTTCCCAAGCCAATGGGCAAATCCCCAGGTACACGTGCCATGTCTGCATCCATCAGGATGAAATGGGAGGAGTTAAGACAACTGGGAATCAGGTATCAGGGACTGGCATCCTGCCTCCAAAATGCCTATCTCCCATCCCCATCACTTTCCCCTGACTCCTATCCTTAGCTCCCAATGACAGCCCCACTGGTAGGTAGCAGAGGAAGGCTTGACAAAGCTCATCACCTGGGCCCCTTCTCAATCATTCTTTTGACTGTGGACAGAGATAAAGAAAGGAGGTCGTAGGTGTGACCTCTTCTCAGACCGGTAGTCATCTTGAAATGCCTGGAACTCTAACCCGGGGTCCTTACTGCCCACCCCCTGGCTCCTTCTCCTCCCCCACCCGTGTTTGTCTGTGACTCCCTGCTCCTCCCCCCAGATGTGGATGAGTGCAGCATCAACCGGGGAGGTTGCCGCTTTGGCTGTATCAACACTCCTGGCAGCTACCAGTGTACCTGCCCCGCAGGCCAGGGCCGACTGCACTGGAATGGCAAGGATTGCACAGGTGGGCATCGCCCTCTGCTGGCCGCAGCTGGCACTACCATTTCAGGGGTTCTGGAAAGCAACACATTCCACGTTGAGGAAAGTGAGGTAGTAACAGGGGTGGAGAGTGTGGCTGTTAGACACAGGAAGGCTCCAGTAAATAGCGCTTCCCTTCCTTCATCAGTCTGTGTGAGTGACAGTTACAACTCTGCGTGTAGCTACTTCTCTTCCTCCACGTTACCCGGCTGAGGGAGAGGCTGCGAACCGCAGGCCCGCCCCTCCTCAGGCTCCTCTCCCTTCCTAGAGCCTGTGAAGTGTCAGAGCAGTCCTGGTGCCTCGAAAGCTCTGCTCAGCTGCAACCGCGCCGGCAAGAAGGACACCTGCGCCCTGACCTGCCCCTCCCGGGCCCGGTTTTTGCCAGGTACATAGGGGAGGCTGCTGGAGGGCCCGGGGGGGGGGGGGGAGTGGGGAGACTGGCTGTTCAGGCAGCAACTCTGCTGCCCTTAGAGATGTCCAACCAGTGAGGGTTTTGGGGGGTCAGGTCAGAGCTGTGACAGCCCCCTTCTCTCAGAGTCGGAAAATGGCTTCACGGTGAGCTGTGGCACCCCCAGCCCCAGGGCCGCTCCAGCCCGAGCTGGCCACACCGGGAACAGCACAAATACCAACCACTGCCATGGTGAGCACCAGCCTAAGGCCTGTTCCCACCCCACTCTCTTGCTTATTGACCCCGATTTCTCTTCTTCGCTAACCACTGGCCTTACTTCTTTCTGGATTCCCGTTCTTTGCTCCGTAATTCCCCAGCCCTGCTGCCTTGCTCCCTCTTCCCCTAGCATCTGATTGCCTTGGCTTCTGTAATCCCTCTCCTCCAGTCAAGCCCTGGCTTCTTGCCCAGCTTCTCACTGTCCCCCACAGCAGCCCTCACCCCACCCCCAGGGCTCCCAGGCTCTGCTGAGCTTCTCCCATCCCTCCAGAGGCTGCAGTGCTGTTGGTTAAACAGCGGGCCTCCTTCAAGATCAAGGACGCCAAATGCCGCCTGCACCTGCGAAACAAAGGCAAAATGGAGGAGGCCAGCAGAATCCTGGGGCCAGGTCTGGACTGGGGACCCCACTCCAACAGGTTGTCTGGCCATCAAACCCTCCCCACCCCTCAACTCTCCTGCTTAGTGAGATGGCCGAAAACCCACTGGACCCTGAACTCTAGAAAGAGCAGGGGCAAACGCAGATGTAGGCACAGAGCCCCAGGGAGCCCCACGTCATTCTCCAACTAAAAGAGAAGGGAGGTAGAGGCAGTCAGGGATGTGGTGCGAGTGTCAGGCTTGGGCTGGAGGGTGAGAGCTGGAGCGAGAACTTTCCCGTCCCAGGTGCCTCCTGCTCCGACTGCCAGGTCACCTTCATCCACCTCAAGTGTGACTCCTCTCGGAAGGGCAAGGGCCGCAGGGCCCGGACCCCTCTAGGCAAGGAGGTCACTCGGCTCACCCTGGAACTGGAGGCAGAGGTCAGAGCCGAAGAAACCACAGGTGGGACTGGGCGCCAGGCTGGAGGAGGGCGGCGGAGGGCAACCACAGGTCTCAACAGCGAGGGGGACGGGGGGGGGGGGCCTGTATGAGGGGCAGACCCTGCCTAATGCCAAGCCCGGGAGCCAGTCCTCTCACCTGTAGCCCCAGCTTTGCTCTTCCCCTCCTGCTCACAGCCACTTTCTTCTCTTCCTCCTCTGGCTCGTACCGCCACCCGCCACAGCCAGCTGTGGGCTGCCCTGCCTCCGACAGCGGATGGAACGGCGGCTGAAAGGGTCCCTGAAGATGCTTAGAAAGTCCATCAACCAGGACCGCTTCCTCCTGCGCCTGGCGGGTCTTGATTATGAGCTGGCCCACAAACCGGGCCCGGTAGCTGGGGAGCGAGCTGAGCTGGTGGAGGCCTGTAGGCCTGGGCAGCACCGCGCAGGGGCCAAGTGTGGTAAGGGAGCTTGCTGGGACATAGGGGAACCTGGGAATAGAAAGACCCAGCTGGGACCAGAGCAGAATACGTTATGGCCTCAGTTGCATCTCTCAATTGGGAGGCAGCCAAGACCCTCCTGCCCCTCCCTGGTCCCAGGCTGAAATCTAGGACAGTAGGTGGGGCCACCAACCCTCCTGCACATGGCTTTGGCCCCTGATTCTTCCACGTAGAATTCTGTTTCCAGACAGAGATTCTCCTTAAATCTGGGGGAGTGGGAAGGGGAGTCCCAGGCCTGGGTGGTGGGAAATAGGGGGGGTGGGTGGCTAGCACAGCCGACTCTCCCTCAGTCAGCTGCCCGCAGGGAACGTATTACCACGGCCAGACGGAGCAGTGTGTGCCATGCCCAGCGGGCACCTTCCAGGAGAGAGAAGGGCAGCTCTCCTGCGACCTTTGCCCTGGGAGTGATGCCCACGGGCCTCTTGGAGCCACCAACGTCACCACATGTGCAGGTGCCAGGGGAACAAACAATGCAGAGTGGGGTAGGGTGGGCACTGGGATGCCCACGGGCATGGGATTTCCCAAGGGCAGGCCCAGGCTCCAGGCTACTCTCCTAGTCAACATCCTGTTTGTGTGCCTCTGTCCCCTGAGACTGGGTGACCCCAAAGGGATGACCAGGACCATCCCCATCAGAGTTGGGCCCTTGGTTCATTGCAGGTCAGTGCTCACCGGGCCAGCACTCTGTGGATGGGTTCAAGCCCTGCCAGCCATGTCCCCGTGGCACCTACCAACCCGAAGCGGGGCGGACTCTGTGCTTTCCGTGTGGCGGGGGCCTCACCACCAAGCACGAGGGGGCCATCTCCTTCCAAGACTGTGACACCAAAGGTGAGTAGGCTACTCCCCCTTCAGGGGCTCCCCTACCCCCAACACTTGCCCAAACTCCCCAAGTCTCCAGAGTAGCCCCAAGTTTGTTGCTCTGCCATCTTCCCCAAACTAAGAAAGGCCCAGCTGCCCGACCAGCCACACCATCCTGCTCATAGGCCCATCCTGACCCGCCACAGCCACAAGCCTGGGAATTGGGGGAGAAATAACAGTAACGATTACCCTTCTGCTTTGGGAAACTGGTGGCACAGTCTCCCCAACACTACAAACGAGTTTCGGTGCAGGTTTGGCACCGCTCGGTGCCTGAAAGAAAAGGATGGGCACTGCAGCCGACCACTGTCAAGCTTGCCTTCCCTGCCTTGAACTCTGGCATGACGAGGAAAGGTTGGGACTCTGGGAGAAACCGTGGTGTCTCCAGTCTCCTGATTCTCCAGGATGAATGTGTCCTGCCCATCCTACGTCCCAGAACTCCCACTTGCCTGCCACCTTAACGCCTCCTTTCCCCCTGCCTGCAGTCCAGTGCTCCCCGGGGCACTACTACAACACCAGCACCCACCGCTGCATCCGCTGTGCCACAGGCTCCTATCAGCCTGACTTCCGCCAGAACTTCTGCACCCGCTGCCCAGGAAACACAAGCACTGACTTCGACGGCTCCACCAGCGTAGCCCAGTGCAAGAGTAAGTGGCAGGCCCGGCGGCAGGAAAGGGGTTAGAGAGGCGGGCACAGTGGGCACAGGAAGCAGCAAGGTGGGAGATCACCAGCAGGGAGGGGCCTGGGGCGTGGATGGGCAGGGAAGCCCCACTCTCCGTCTCTCCCCAACTCACTCAGGCTCAAGACCAGTTGCACTCTCTCCCTGGAGACAGGCCATGGGGAGGCAAAGACAGGAGAGGGGAGATAAGAAGGTCCTAAAAGAGCAGGAGGGAAGGGGACCCAGAACTTGGAGAAAGGATGATGAGCTCAGAAGGTGGCTAGCTACCTACCTGTGTCTGATCTCCACTTCAGAGCTCTTCATGTTCCCCAACCCACTTCCCCACTGACCTCACTTCTCCTTCTTGCTCTGTCCACTGCCCTTGGCTACAGATCGTCAGTGTGGTGGGGAGCTGGGTGAGTTCACTGGCTATATCGAGTCCCCCAACTACCCAGGCAACTACCCAGCTGGCGTGGAGTGCGTCTGGAATATCAACCCCCCGCCCAAGCGCAAGATCCTTATCGTGGTACCCGAGATCTTCCTGCCATCTGAGGACGAGTGTGGGGACGTCCTCGTCATGAGGAAGAACTGTGGGTGGCTGCACAGCTGGGCCAGGGAAGGGCAGTCCAGATCTGGTTGGGAGGGAAAGGGAAAACTGGCCCAGGAAGAACAGGGGCCGTGGCAAGGGAGGCCTTGGGAGGAGAGACGCTCACATAGGAAAACAGCCATGATGCGCATGGTGGGTGGGTCGGAAGCAGTTTAGAAAGGCAGCACTGGGGCCAGAACTCCAGTGGTGTCACATGTGCCACTGTCCTCCTCTAGCATGTTTGCTGTTCCATTCATTTAAGTGTCAGATTTCTTCCACTCTGTGAGTGCCAGGGTGTCAGAGAGGAGTTATGGAACAAGCTCACGGGGGTGGGAGACACTATATGTATGGGGGGTGGGGGCGGCGTGCACAGGTGACGCCTCTCGGCATGATTCCTCCTCCCACAGCCCTCACTCCGGGAGGGCTTGGGGAGCGCGCCCTGTTGCTCCCTGACGTGCTGCTTGCCTTCCCAGCCTCCCCATCCTCCATTACCACCTACGAGACCTGCCAGACCTACGAGCGCCCCATCGCCTTCACCGCCCGCTCCAGGAAGCTCTGGATCAACTTCAAGACCAGCGAGGCCAACAGTGCCCGTGGCTTCCAGATCCCCTACGTCACCTACGATGGTGAGCAAGGGCAGGGCAGCCAGGGGGGTGGCTGAGAAAGGGGAGGCTCGAGAGCCTGGGAGGCGGCAAGGGGAGCAGAAGGGTTCCCACCCCTAAGCTCTTCCCCTGGGTTGACTTTGCAGAGGACTATGAGCAGCTGGTAGAAGACATTGTGCGAGATGGTCGGCTCTATGCATCTGAAAACCACCAGGAGATTTTAAAGGCAAGTGAATATAAATAACAACAGCCAACATTTAATGAACATGTATGTAACAATGTGCAGGCAATACGCTATGTGCTTACATGAATATTCTCATTGGAGACACACAATTGCTATGTGAATTAGGTACTTTCATCACTCCCACTTGACAGATGAGAAATATGAGGCACGGAGAATTATAGAAGTTGCCCAGAGGTTAAGCTGAAATTTGAGCCTAAGCCCACCTGACTATAGTATTACCCACACCTTGGGGGAAGACAAAGGGAAGATGAGATGTAATGTTCCCTACCTCTTCCATAAAAAATTCTAGGGTCTGGCCAGTGTGGCACCTATGAACCAGGAGGTCAGGGTTTGATTCCCAGTCAGGGCACATGCCCAGGTTGCAGGCTCCATCCCCAGTAGGGGGCGTGCAGGAGGCAGCTGATCAGTAATTCTCTCACATCATTGATTTTTCTTTTTCCCACTTCCTCTCTGAAATCAATAAAATATATATATATATATTTTAAATCTAGGGAAAACTAGGTATAGAAAGATGCTTTTGCTTAAGTCCCTTCCTTCCCTTACTCCCACAGAAAAGCAAATTAGCACAGCATTTCTCAGAGTTAATTCAGTAAAGACCTCTTTTAAGGGAAAAGAAATGTTTCCAGCATTAAAGAATCAACTAGACACCTGGGTCATGTGGATCCCAGTTTGAGAAAATCTTACTTAAGAAACTATAGTCCTAGTCACAGTCCTTCATAAATTATTAATTTTAAAAAGGTTTGCTCTATGTTAATAATTTTTGTATTATCATCAAAATAATGGACATGATAACAAAAATCTTCTAGAACTTGCAGACTGCAAAGAATATCATTTCAGAAATGCTTTTAAAACATTTTTTAGCCTAGCTGGTTTGGCTCAGTGGATAGAGCGTTGGCGTGTGGACCAAAGGGTCCTAGGTTCGATTCTGGTCAAGGGTAAGTACCGTTGTTGCAGGCTCCTTCCCGGTCTGGGCCCTGGTCGGGGCTCATGCAGGAAGCAACCAATCAATGTGTTCTCTCACATCAGTGTTTCTATCTTTCCCTCTCTCTTCCACTCTCCCTAAAAACCAATGGAAAAATATCTTCGAGTGAGGATTAACAGAAAAACAAAACCAAAAAAACAACACATTTTTTAAAGCACCTGAACCCTTATTTCAAACTATGGGCTCAGTGCACGAAATCACGTGAGACCAAGACCCGGCGCGCCACGGGACACAGCGTCAAGTCACCTCCTGGTGACCTGCACACCACGGGACCCAGAGTCAAGTCCCGCCAGCGCCACAGGACACAGCGTCAAGTCACCTCCTGGTGACCTGTCTTTGGTCGTTATGGCGTTACGACCACTGGGTTTTTATTATATAGATATGCTATGGAATTTTAATGTATAAAGTAGTCGAGCTGTTTTGATTAAAGTGGGGAGGAGAGGCTGAAAGCCCCAACTCTTATTTTAAAAATCTGCTGATGCAGTGGAAAGAACCTACCCTAGAAGCTGGAAGATCTGAGTCCTAAGGCACAGGCCTGGCACGTACGAGGCTCTCCACACATCACGTTGCCAGATTGCTCAGGGAAGGCCTCTGAGAAGAGACCTGAATGAGGTAAAGGCCTACCTATCAGACGATCAGGAGAGGAGTGTTCCAAGCTATGGAGCATGGGAGCAGTGTGGCATGTCCAAGAACTTTGAGAAGGCCAGTGTGGTCAACAGAATAAGGAAAATTCGAGAGGATGGAGGAGAGAGAACTGAGCACAGATCACATTCAACGAATGGGCCATGCAAGGGACTCGGCTTTACTGAGAGAAAAGAAGCAGAGAGGTGTTTTAAATGGACATGACCTAATTAAACATTTTTTAAAAGTCACTCTGTAGAAGCATAGGGTAGGTAGAAGCATGGAGACCAGTTAGCAAGCGCTTGCAATAGTCCAGGTGAGAGATGATGGTGGCTTAGACGGGGTGCTAGCTGTGGAGACAGTGACAAGTGGTCAGACTCTGGACATATCTTGAAGGTAGAGTCAACAGGACTTGCTGTGGTTGTGAGCAAAGAAGAGGAGTCGAGGATGGCTTCAAGGATTGGGCCATGGGAGGCTGGGCTGCCACTGGCCGAGCTGAGATTCTAAAGGAGGAACAGGAAGTGGGGGTGGGGATCCAGCTCACCTCAGTGTAGCCCCGTTAGACAGCACGGGGGGGGGGGGGGGGG